GGGGGGGGGTAGCTGCTGGACGATGCGTCTCTCCCGTCATGCAGAGTGCCACGTGATCGCGCGTTCATTTTCGCCTCGAGTCGTCGTCCCGCCCTGACCGCTCGTCGAGCCGCTCGCAGTGCGCGGCGCGTCGTCTTACCGTTATGTCACCGACGACGAGCAGGACGCCCTACAACAGGTCCCCGCGCCGCCTAGATTATATCGGCTGACTTTCACACAAGAAAAGGAATAAGGGCCCCAAGAATAGGCCTGGAACTGGAACTCGATCCTGCGTTTTAATGGCGTGAATGTGGTCTGTGAATTCCGAAACGTGGACGGCGACGCGATACGGAGTTGATGCTCCGCCGGGTCCGTAGGCCCGGCCGGGCCGTATTTCAAACGCCTAAACGCTGCCCCGGCCCGGGGCCCGTGTCATAACTGCGACGCAAGTTCGATCGTTCGGAAAATCGTAAAAAGAAAAATTTCACTCGTTTTGCGGGGCGTTTATCTCCCGCTTCCTTTCGGGAGAACCCGGCCAAGTCGGTGTGTGGCGGGCGTGACCGCGGGGGAGGGGCAGCGGCCGGCAGCGGCGGCGTCCTCGCCCATATCGTGGACGCCCACCGCGAGCCAACGGTCCGGGGACTCGAGGTGACCAGTGAGCGCGTGGGCGCGGCCCGGCAGGCAGGCGTGGCGAGGAGCTGGGCCGACCCCGGTGCCACCCGGTAGGCAACCCCTACCTCCGTGCGTTACCGGGACTCCGATTGCCCATTCAGCGTGGACCCCGGGTAGGCCCGTGCCCACTGGGCGCCCGGCCGGTAGGCACTCCCGCAGGACACCTGTGCGCGCCAGGGCCGTGGTTGCCTACTCAGCAGGGGCCCGATGGATGAGAGGGTGCGGTCTGGTAGTCGCTCCGTGCACACTGGGCCCCCGGTTGGTGGACGGGTAGGCACTCTCGCAGGGCACTTCTGGAGGGCGATCGGAGAGCTCCCTGGGAAAAACCGGAAACGCCTTCTAAATCGACTGAAACAGGGTGAGGGGGGTAGTGGGAGGACGGAAGTGGAGCGTTCTCAGGGAGCTCTCCGATCACCCTCCTGTGCGCCTGCGCCGTGGTTGCCTACTCAGCGCGGGGGCCAGGGAAAAGGTTGTGGTCTACCTATCTGGTAGTCGCTCCGTGTCTGCTGGGCCCTCGGCGGGTGGGCACTTTGTGGCCCTCTTGTGGGCAGTGGGCACCCCGCGTCCGTGCGGCACCTACGCGCGTCGAGCACGCCGAGGCCTACCCCACCGGTGCCCTGGGGGAGGGGAGGCCTCAGGGCTCCAGCGTGTGAGGACCAGTCGGCACCAGTGGGGGGCGCCGGCGATGGTCCCCACCCGGTCTCCCCGCCGGGCCGCTGCAGCGACGACTGGAGCTGGGGCTGCTGGAGCCTGGGTATGGGTAGGTCCATATAAGAAGCTCCCCGTAGGACGCAGAACACTTACTTGTCCGCCGCCCGTCTATCGCTCCTCTTCGCGCCGTTCCGTGCAGCTGACGTGCCGCTAACGCGCCGCCCGCCTCCCAGCGAACTACGAGTCCCCCGTGACCGCCGAGGGGAGCGCGTCACCGCACCCGCACGCACGGCGCCATGGCGCCCCGGGCGCCGCTCGTCCTCGCCGTGGTGATGGTGGCCGCGGCCCTGGCCCTGGCGCCCACCTGCAGCGCGCGCGCCCTTGCCAAGGCCTCGTCGTACGGATCCTCCATCTACCACGTGACCTCCGGCGTGCCTTCCAGTCACCAGGTGAGAAGCGGCACCGTGCGCCCGACGAGTAGGCCACTTATTCGACGCGGCGGTGTGGTGACTTGATAGCAACAAGGGGAAATGTGCTTTATTTATTTTCGACCTTCGACGAGCTTCGATAAAAATGACTTCGACGGACTTTCACTGAACTTCGGTACGCGTCATAGTTGCGGGTTTTTACCCTCGCTAGGTCTGCAGAAGCCATGCGCCTCAAGGCCGAAAGGGGGACACACTGGAGAGCGCCGGTACCTCAATTACTACAGGGTGGGTGTTTTTTCTGCTTATACTTTACCGGATTAATGCGTGCAGATGGGTTGCATACTCGCACGGGGCCGTAAGGAGCCACGGCCAGCGACGATAGGCAAGCCCGACTGTTGTGTGTTGGTCACACTGATCAGAATGACCACTTGATTGTAGAGTGTACCCCGAGTACATATAAGGTCTTGTTGACTGTGAATAAAGCCTCTATCAGCTGAACCACTTGTAGTGTAACCACTTGTAGTGTCAGTCAGTCAGTTCCGACTTCCCTCACGCCAGCCAGATACCACCACACCGACCGCACGCATGAATCCGGTACAGTGTAAGCAGAAAAAACCACCCTGTATGAACTTCAGCGTCTAAATTCGCAGAAACGCGATCGAAATTCATAAGCTGAACTTTATTCGAAAACTTTATTTGAACTGAACCAATCTCTATGCAGTCCGTGACGCTGAGCGAGGAGCGAGTCGTGCACACGCTGGACCACCAGGCACACCCGCCGCACGCACTGGAGCGCTCGCACGACCACGCGCTCGACCACGACCACGACCACTCGACGCCCTACAAGTTCGAGTACAAGGTGCACGACCAGAAGAACCACAACTACTACGAGCGGGCAGAGTCCAGCGACGGTCAGGTGGTGCGTGGATTTTACAGGTACGACCTCCTACTGCGTGAGTTTACGTTGCGTTTCAGGTTGATACAATAATGTGTTCTAATGTCAGCCTGCTGGAGCCGCACGGTGAGGTCCGCGTCGTCAAGTACCGCGCCGACCACGACGGCTTCCAGTCCGAGGTCTCGCGGCACGGCAGCCACCTCGGTGACGCTCACGGCGGTGGCCTCGGCGCGACCATCGGGGTCGGCGCCTCACACGACCTGGGCAGCCACGGCCTCGGCGTGAGCGCCTCGGCGCCCATCCCCTCCCCGGTCAAGTCTTACAAGCTGACCCCCATCAAGACCTCCATACCCATACACGAGGAGGCGCAGGAGGACAGCAGCAACCAATGGTCCGCCATCGAGGACCCCAAGAAGCAGAGCGGGACGCCGATCAAGAGCCAGGCATTGGAGGAGATCCCCGCACCGGTAAGTGAAGTACCCCGACGTGTCGTCTTTCTCGGTGGCGACGGTGGCTGCAGTGCGACCGAGTCTAACGATCTTTCCCTCGCAGAGCCAGGAGGCCTTAGGCAAGCCACCGGGCGGAGGCCGAGTTCCGGAGCAGTTCCTCCTGCAGCAACAGAAGAAGAAAAAGGCCCCGCACCACGCGCTGCAGCACCCCAAACCACCGCCACATCTGCACAAGTTCCAGAAGCGGCCGCCGCACCCCTTCGGCCCCGGGCCAAGGCCGGGAGGCCCGCCCCACCGGCCGCCCCTGGGCAGCCTGTACCACCGCGGGCCCAAGCGCGGGCCGGGAGCGTCCGCGGGGCCCCGCGCGCGCAACGCTCTGGTGGGACCGCCGCCTCCACCCCTGCCGCCACCCTCGCCGGCCGCAAACGCCCACTCGCCGCAGCGGAGGGAGGCGCGGCCCCCACCCACCCCCTGCAAGTGCAGCGAGCAGCCCCCGGGTCACGCCGCCGGCCATCCCCCGGGGGGGCATCCCTAGGGGGTCCACCCTCAGGGGCCACTCGGCCGCAAGCTGACCTGAGTGCACACCGGGCAGCGTGATCGAGTTCTTCCGACACCTGTGGAGCCCCCACCCCCCACCCCCCGGGAGTGGGGCTTCATTGCCCGCAAGCAGGACAAGCCCCGGCCCGGTGCGGCCCGAACGGGACCGGGAGGTGCGATTCTAAGTCAATTTGGACGAGGCACGTTAAGGCTTTCTGAATAAATCTGGAAGCAAATCGACAGAGTGCCATGAAGGAACGTTCTAAGAATGAATAAAGCATTCCGGTAAAGCTGAAATGCAGAAGAATGCGGGGAAGAAGATAACGGAAAGCGCTATGCTTTAACGTGGTGACTTCCGTTTTCTTCTTCCCCGTATTCCTCTGCATTTCAGCTTTACCGGAATGCTTTATTGCCAAAACGGGTGCGCTTCGTTAGGTGCGTTACAATGTTTTTAAAGTGAGTGTGTATGTTCGTGATGTGTGCGTGTGTGAAAGAGAGTGATTGAGAGTAAGACTGTAAGTAAGGTGGTTCTTGTTCCACCCTTGCACTTTTATATCTGGGAGGAAAGAGTGATGACTGTATCCAAAGTTTGTGTCATATTTATTGCATCTCTTTTTTTTAACTTATAGGTGTAAATTATTGAATTGTGTGTGTGTATTTATGTGATATGAAACTTCAAAGGTTGAAGAGTAAATCAGGATGGAAATAAAATGTTTGAAAAGGGCTCCTGGAATCTAGATATTTGTGACACCCGAGGTGACACCCACAAATTACCTCACGGGTTTACCGGAATGTCACAAGCGATTTAATTTTTTTTTTGTCGACTGTCTCTCTTTGACGCGGTCTGGCGCTGCCGAAGTCTCATCGCTGGCCGTGAAACAGCTGTTTTCGACACATCTTTTTCCGCCGCCTTCCGCTCGGTAGACACAGCATTTTCAAATCTCTGCCGGGACCGAGTAGCCACTCTATCAATGAAAAGCCGTGGCACCTAGGAGGTTATCGACCGCGTCCTTTATCCCCCCCCCCACCTTTCTCTCCATTTCTCTCCCGGACGCCGTCGACTTTACGGGGCTTCACTTGGTATGGACGACGCCGAGCACAAACATTGTTGAGGCCCGCCGTCGTCCGTTGTCGTTGTGAGCCTCTGACCGGACGGACCGGACCTCCGCCCTTTTATGCACTATTAGATTCCGTCTTTCAGGCGGAAGGAACTGATGACGGCACAGACGAACGAACGTGAGCGCATGCGCACCACAGACCTGATTGGAAGGGTAAACACCCCCCCC